ATATTGTTTGTATACAATATTTATGGTTTTTCTATCGTCAGAATCACCATCACCACAGATCATTATTTTCAAACACTTCCCATTAGTAACTCCAGAAAAGCTACATCCAATTGTTTATTACTGAAAACAGGGTCATTCAAGACTAAGCGAACGTGTGAGAGAGATTGATTTTGACTCTTGATGATCGCCATAGTATAGGAGACCATGTTAAAAAAAAATTTGCGTCGAAATTTTAACGGTACCCTCAAACAAATAGGAAATAATAAAATAGAAGAGCCATTACAACCATTTTCTTTATGCTAAATCAATTTTGTAACTCTCTTAATTGATTTATGCTCATAATTTATGGCATTCAAGCAAGTTAATTTGTAACTTAAAAATGAAATTGAATGCTAAAAAAATTGGAGGGAGAATAAAATTTAATGCATTACAATAAAATTAAATGCTTGTCTTGCCAAATTATATATTTATAGATTTGTTAACATAAAATATAGTTTAAGATTGTGATTCCATTATATCATAACACACATATGATGTCGATGTGACTTCAACTACCCTTGTGGGCAACTAACCCCAATGCAAGCACACAAAATGTCAAAAATCTACCATTTTAGAAGCTCTTATCTATTTAAATCTCACAGTTTTGATGCCAAACGTGCATAGGTCATAGATGCTAACAAGGACAAAATTGAGTTCTTATTTGAGTTCATTTTATGGCTATATTGGGTAAAATTAGCTGATATGCTAGTTAATAATTTATAAGAAATCTCGTAACTTATGACTTATAGCTGAAAGCTAGCTTATATGATAAGTATTTGGTAAAATTAATTATAAGCTAGCTGAAATAAAACTTTCAACGAGCTTATTTGAAAAGCTACCCAAAGAAGCTTAGGCCATGTTTGGTAATCAAATAAGCTAGAAGCTAACTTATTTGGTCAGCTTATAAACTTTCTGTATTCAAATAAGCTTTGTTTGGTAAGACGAGTTTTTTTAAATAACACGAGCTTATCTCATAAACTTCTTTAGACAGTTTTTCAAATAAGCTTGTTGAAAATTTTATTTCAGTTAGTTTATCAGTTAATTTTACCTAATATTTTTATTATATAAGTTATCTTTTCTGAGTCATAAGATATAAGCTCTAAAATTACTCATAGCTATACACTAGCTTATCAGCTATCAGATAATTTTATCAAACATAGTCTTATGAGATAAACTCGGGATTTTTTGAAAAATTTTATCATACCAAATGAAGCTTATTCAAATACATGAAGCTTAAGATACAAGCTAACTTATTAACATTGCCTTTATCGCCTAATAAGTAACATTAGTATCCGTTCTTATGCACGTGCACATTGACAAATCAAATTTTATATATTATGTGTCTGTGTATACAATATTTAATATTTTAAATTAAATAGTGGATGTATTACATTTTATTTTTTTTTACTGTATGCAAGGGTACAATATATATATATACAAATTATTTAACCTACGTTTAAATCTTATATTATGACATAAAATTTAATGGATAGTGTAATTTTGTAATTTAGAGAGACCATACAATAGTTAGAAAAGTATTACAATTATTTTTATCATTGTTATAGAAATTGTTTACGATTTTAAGGGATTTAAACACTCATGTCAACTAACTAATATATGAGAAAAATCACTTTATAAGACGAAAAGATTAATATTTGTTGCAAAATAAGTATCTTAAAGAAAAAAAAAAAATTGCAATACAATTTTTTATAAGTATTGAATATTTAGTGTAAATTTATAATTAGTTAGTATTAGTAGTATCTATTATATAATAAATTAGTTTAAAATTATTTACACTTTATTAATAAAAAATGTAATTGTTCTATATTAATTAAAAAATGAGCTATAGTTATTTTATTAATTAAAGTTATTATTTATATTTTTTGTCAGCAATTAAGTTAAGACTGCATTTCTTGAAAAATAGCTTAATCTTAAAATAAAAGATTCTTATGTACGGCCTTGAAATTGCAGGAACGTTACTGTATCCGAGAATTGGTTCGTGCTTTCTATTGAATAGTACTAACAATTGAAGATATTTTGAAAAAATCAATTCGGGTTAAATTCACATATA